TAGATTTTAACTTTTATAATCAGGTGTTAAGAGGGAGGATAAAGGTGATTTTGTCGAATCACCTCTGTTCCTTACAAAATCTTGTCAACGTTAGACGAATTTAATTTAGTTTTGTCGAAATGTTTCTCTCTTTCCCTAAAAGCTAATGAAATTGTGATAACTGATAGGAGTTTTAGTTTGAAATCTTTTAAGCCGTCTGAATTGGAATGTTCGGTACTAGGAGTTTCAATATATGTAATTCTTTCGATGATATGAATTTCATCTTCCAGCCTTCACTACTATCTTGAATTTCAAGTGATTTTCTGTTCTTTCATAGTCTAGTAAGTAGGAAATCATGTGCAGCCGATTGATTTAATTTGGGTGTAGTTTTGCCACTTATGCATTTCTGAAACTATGCTTATTTTCTTCTTTAAATCGGATATGGTGCTTGTACCTGTAGTCAAACATGCTCGGAATGCTCTGTTGAGCAATTTGGGAGATTGCTTGGCCTATGTGTATTCGAGGCTGGGCGATCTAGACGACTACGCGTACTAAATTGACACTGCAATCAAAAGTCGGTTGTAGTTTCCATTTTTCGACTTGTTACGTAAGGGAGATGAAGAAAGCATTCGGGAGGCTTTTTTGCCCCTCTGGTAGAGCCTTGGTTTGTTGACTACGGAGTGTTATTTGCTCACAAGTTTCAGGGCCTCCTGTTTTTTTCCTCTTTGGATTAACACTGGCACCAATTTGCTCATTATGCGAAACGAGGATGCACTTGTAAATTGGTGAACTTTTATTTGTCATTTCCCTTCATGTTCTCCTGTTTAATATAAGTTGGAAGTGACTGCTGCCACTATTCATGCAAAGAATGCCCAAAGAAAGAAGTGGGAAGTGATTTCATCCAATTTCAAGATGCTGTTCATTGCTGTAGGGGCCGTAAGGATCTATTATCAGGCTAAACAGCATTAATGGTGGACAGATAGATGGAGTGGGATGATGCATTGGCAAGGGAGACTGCGAGAACTGGAAACGACTGGTCTAGCCAATTAATGGGACGGGAAGAGGTTGTGTGCGCAATTTATTCCTCATAGTTCCTTTATTCCCTACAATCTTGTTTTAAATTACATCTCCACAACTTTGACAGACCTCATACTACATTTTCTTCCTTCCAGAGTCCTTGTCCTTCGTTTCTTCACTCATTAATCTCTGGTTTTACTGAAGTCTTGTTGCTAACGGAGAATAGCACTGTAGTAGTTGTTGAACTTAATGAAGTCATATTATTGGTGCTTTTTTCACTGCTTCTAGACAAACTGTTAGTTCCGTAAAAACCAATCATCTATGTGATTGCTACAACATTCAATGATTTTTGGACCTCAGAAGTCGCTTTGATGCCGTGGATGCCTCTCGGATAGCCATTTATTTGGCCATTTTGCATGGTTGTTTGGACTTTTACGTAACACTACTGTCATGAAGAAGTTATCATTTGGCGTGGCAACTTTTTTGAGGCAACAGTAATTCATTGGCACCCATCATTGAGTTTCGTCAAGTCTCTGTAAATTCTTCTCTTGATTGTATATCATATTTGCCTGAAGCTGGAAACCTTTTTATTTAAGAAGTACCATGGGTGATTACTATTTGGTACTGAAGATACCTCTAAAGTACTTAAATATGAGGGTTACGATTCCAATCGAAAAACTATTTAATTGTATCTGATTTGCGAAGAGGTTGTAGTACATCTAGGCTAAGTATTTTGGAATCTAGAATTACCGGAACAGAATGCCTTAATCTATTGGCGTGACCTTACACGTGTATTAGCTGGTCACATTCTTGCTTATAAAAGGCTTTGCTTCTGGTGTACAGAAGTCATTTATGAGGAAGCGTTTTTTAAATTTCTCGTAGGCTTCTAAAAATCACTTCAAAAAAAGCCGATATTTCCAAATCCAAACGTCGTTCAAAGATAGTACTGATGATCCGCCTTCACTAGAAGTAGGGAATCGTAAACATTGACGATGAAGTGTCTGAGAGATGTAATTTTCAAGCCTTAACTTTTATAAATTGTACACTTTAGCCCAGCTTTTTCTGCCATTATTTGGAATCTTTAGCTCGGGTATACTCGAGCTCATTTTAGCCAGTACAACGATATGGATGGTTGCAAAAATTTATCTGGCACTGGTAGTGCAGCGTCCATATTGTATGATCACATCTGCGCGTGGTATTCATGATCCCATCTTGGGCGTTCAATGCATAAACAGATAGGACATGTTTATACTAATACCCATTTTTAATACGCGGAGATTTACCGCCCCATCGATATGCGCACTTGTCTGAGTGGTTTAAAGCTCTCCAACTCTTTAGTGAGCCGCACAGGTGAGATGGATAAGTTTAATGTCGGCTTTACACAAATAAAGTAGATCGGAGTCGCGTTAATGCCTTAGAGTTACCTTGGAATGCATCTATAGGGTTGAATAAATAGTTGGACTGCTGAATGACTTAGTATACTTATGGACATATAATTCTGGGGTAGATGAGTGAGTAATGAATGCCTGAATGGATGGGTTGAAAGATGGATGTCTGGACGATTTGCTACTTCAATAAAAGGATGGAGACAAAATAATGCTGAAATACCTGTGGTAAATAATTGTTAAACCCTTTTTAAATGTCACTGCTATGAGGATGTACGCGCTTATTCAGTGGTAATTTTGACTATCCAGCACCTTAGCAAGCAGCACATTTCGATAGGGTGAATGAGTTCAGTGCCAAAAAACTCAAATAAAGTCGGTATTTATTGTCTATGCTGTAACAGGTTAACGTCCTGCTAATGACTTACGATCGCTTTAGAAGGTGAATAGCTGAACTGTTGGATTGCTTGATGGGTAAATATTTGGATTTATGAGTGCTTAAATTATCAGATGACTGAATAAGTTGATGGATGTCCGACTAATTGGTAGATTTACGCAGTGATCGGGGATGGGTGGATAGTTGAATGGTCATAGGAGTCAATCCATGAATAGACAGCTGGATTACCAGTTTCATTAACGGACCGATTGGTAAGTGAATGGATGAATGGTGCATATAAAATGGTTGGCTGATGTCAGTCAGTAAGTGCCAAAACTTTTGTCAATACCTGAAATGACTTCGTACACTTTTTCCCTTCGTAACTATGGCAATGTGTGTACTCAACATATTGGTGAGTAGTGTAGTTAGACAAAAATAATAAACTGATTGCTGAATGGATGGATAGACAAATGAATGGTTCAAAGAATAAAATGAGTGCGATCGGTGGACCAATATGTATCAGAGGTAGTCAGTTATGTTGATGGTCAGCTAATTGGCTAAATGGGTAAATTGCTAAATAAGCGGCTATGAGCACGTCGGAGATGGGGGGGTCATTTGGTCTCTGGTTAGATGATTACTTGAATGGCCAAGTAAATTGCTGGAAGGGTGGATGGCTGAGTGGTCGGAGTGATAGATGGGTGGATGGGTAATTAAATGGGTGGAAAAATTTATCCAGGTTAGATAAAGTAGTGCTCGGACGGATGAATAGTTAAGGGAATGGCTGATGAATTATTCGATGGATGCGTGGCCGAGCAGATAGCGCACAGCAGAGTTGTTCAATAGATGGACACCTAGGCGAATAGCTCGAGTATAGATATCAGGTTGAGTAGACTTGGAAAGATGGTGTCGATACTGGATGGTGTATAGGGCAAATGGTGGATGGTTTCGTTAAGCTGGGTTGTTTAGAATCTACCAGGCACAACGGATCAGTCTTGTACTAGTAGCTCCCGTTCTCCTCTGTGCAGGCCATGGTTCTAAGGACACGTCACAAAAGGCCACTTCTTAGCGCAGTAAGTATACCTATGCAGTTTTGATCTCAACTTATTCGTCAATGCTTACCCGTTTGGTGGCTATTGCTTTTTGAAGCGAGTTTCATAGGTATAGGTAGTGCCTGCCACCTTCCGTATCATCGATCTACTGTCTTGAATTGCGATGTAACCTCTTTTGTATTGACGCTTTCCGTCAAGCAAATGCTCCTAAATCTTCAAAATAAACCTGACTTCTTAAACTTTTAGGTTGTCAGCGGACGACTAAGACATTGCTATCATTCTTGTAGTTCTAGGACATCCTTCCTTTTATGCAGCATTTTTATTTGAATGTCATGCTTTGAAGTTCCCAACTTCTAATTTGAAGATTCATTAAAGTCACCATTTTTTTCACTGTGGGGAAGTAAAACAATGTGGCCTCAATGGTAATGCCGAGTTTCGTAGATACTTTATTCGGAGCTTTGGACAGTATTTACGTTGAGCACCAAAATAAATTATAAGGCAGTGTTAGTTGATTGGGTGAGCAATCGGATGGATAGCTTAATGGTTAGCTTGATGGACCAGTGACAGATGAACGGGCGGACTAGTTGAGCGGATGCATAGATGGGTGAATCGGTCACCGAGCAAATAGATGAATGAGTCGCTAAATGAGTGAATGAATAGAAGAACGGGTTGATGGTTTGATGAATTTCTGAATTAATAGATGCTTGAATGACTAGCTGACTAGCCTGATGGGTGCGAATGGCCAGACGGTTGAATAGAAAGATGAGTGAATTGACAAACAGGTCAATGGATAACGGCAACGACTGTGCATCTCTCTTGCTCATAGCCACATTTTCCCCTTCAGTCCAGCGCTGCCATGATGGAAGCGGAGGTAGCGGTGTGTACCCGAGCGGAGTACCAATCGCACCAACATGCGCGCGAGGCGGCGCTGGCGAGCGGAGCAATGGAGCAGCCGCTAGATGGCGTGCGTCCACGCCACCGCCTCCTCCTTCGCCAACTTACCGCCGACGATTTGGGTCGTCTGCACAATCGCAAACCCAGCATTGGGTCCTCGCCCCCCCCAAGCCTTCCTCTCGGCCTCCATCTTATCGTGCCCTTCGATTGGGGCCTACAACCCTCATCTTACACCGCTATTGATTACCGCAATGTTATCTTCCTTGGTGAGTCCTGAATTATTTGATTTTCTATGTCTCTTAAATGAATTTGTCCTCAGCGTCTAATTTTTTTGTCTACTATCATTCCAAGCATTTAAATGGTTCAGTTTATGAATATGCTTGTGAGTTTGCCAAATTTCCACTGGAATAAGCGGCATTTATAAGCTATGAAAAATCCTTGTCACTCTGCCTACCTTGAAGTAACTATTAACAAACCTGATTTTTAGAATGATGGATCTGTTTTAATTAATCCTATACGGACTTGCCTAACTTAGAAATGTCTATCGTTGAAAGCGTCAGTAATTATTAAACACGGTGGAATGCTTATCTTTTTTCTGCCTTCGTTGTACCTCTCATTGTTAACCGCAATGGTTCCATTAAAAATTCTTCAAAGGATACAAAGACAACGCAATGATAGAATCAATTTTGACTATCAAAATGTTGCAGATCTTTAGAGGTAAACAAACGTTTGTACTACTAGAACTATAGTCACAAACCCCACTTCGCCTGTCCTCGCATTCGCCCAGCATTAAAATATGTGAAAAGAATAAAAGTACTTTTCAAAAATAGATGATAACCGGATAACAAGATTTTGTTTTATTAACGTTGGTGCGAAATTGGAGACATCAGATTGTTTTCCATGATGAAGATGTGAATATCCCGCCTGCCCTTTTCGCCCACTAACATCTTTTAATTAGTCGGTCTGACACTAGTACCTGTGCCCTTGTGCGAGTCTTTAAGTTTATTTTCTACTTTTATGGACTTTTCAACTAAGACAAAGGCAAAAAGATTTATTTGCACCTTACCGATGAATGGGTAGATGGGAGTTTCGGTGCCTGCAAGATTCATTAGCGTACGATGCTTTTGCAGACCTCGTTTTCTTGGATAGGTGATCGAAATCGGACGCTTCAGATACCATTTTTCATTGAGCAGCCTGACTTCATCTTACCCTCTTCTTGGCCATATAACAATTTGCATGTATGAGAAACTTAGCGTAACATCTTTCCCTCAGCCATTAAGCTGTACAAGACAGACAGGTATGCACTTCGTGCCCACAGGCCGACTGCTATACGTACTTATGCACGAAAGAAAAGCAGATAATCGTATTCCTTTTACTCCACATGTAACCTGTTATCTCAAAATCTGCAGTAGCTGTGCTCTCTTCTTGGTAATTCTCTTTTTTTCAAAACTGTATGCTTGAAATAGGGTGTATAAACTTCTTTAGATTTTAACTTTTATAATCAGGTGTTAAGAGGGAGGATAAAGGTGATTTTGTCGAATCACCTCTGTTCCTTACAAAATCTTGTCAACGTTAGACGAATTTAATTTAGTTTTGTCGAAATGTTTCTCTCTTTCCCTAAAAGCTAATGAAATTGTGATAACTGATAGGAGTTTTAGTTTGAAATCTTTTAAGCCGTCTGAATTGGAATGTTCGGTACTAGGAGTTTCAATATATGTAATTCTTTCGATGATATGAATTTCATCTTCCAGCCTTCACTACTATCTTGAATTTCAAGTGATTTTCTGTTCTTTCATAGTCTAGTAAGTAGGAAATCATGTGCAGCCGATTGATTTAATTTGGGTGTAGTTTTGCCACTTATGCATTTCTGAAACTATGCTTATTTTCTTCTTTAAATCGGATATGGTGCTTGTACCTGTAGTCAAACATGCTCGGAATGCTCTGTTGAGCAATTTGGGAGATTGCTTGGCCTATGTGTATTCGAGGCTGGGCGATCTAGACGACTACGCGTACTAAATTGACACTGCAATCAAAAGTCGGTTGTAGTTTCCATTTTTCGACTTGTTACGTAAGGGAGATGAAGAAAGCATTCGGGAGGCTTTTTTGCCCCTCTGGTAGAGCCTTGGTTTGTTGACTACGGAGTGTTATTTGCTCACAAGTTTCAGGGCCTCCTGTTTTTTTCCTCTTTGGATTAACACTGGCACCAATTTGCTCATTATGCGAAACGAGGATGCACTTGTAAATTGGTGAACTTTTATTTGTCATTTCCCTTCATGTTCTCCTGTTTAATATAAGTTGGAAGTGACTGCTGCCACTATTCATGCAAAGAATGCCCAAAGAAAGAAGTGGGAAGTGATTTCATCCAATTTCAAGATGCTGTTCATTGCTGTAGGGGCCGTAAGGATCTATTATCAGGCTAAACAGCATTAATGGTGGACAGATAGATGGAGTGGGATGATGCATTGGCAAGGGAGACTGCGAGAACTGGAAACGACTGGTCTAGCCAATTAATGGGACGGGAAGAGGTTGTGTGCGCAATTTATTCCTCATAGTTCCTTTATTCCCTACAATCTTGTTTTAAATTACATCTCCACAACTTTGACAGACCTCATACTACATTTTCTTCCTTCCAGAGTCCTTGTCCTTCGTTTCTTCACTCATTAATCTCTGGTTTTACTGAAGTCTTGTTGCTAACGGAGAATAGCACTGTAGTAGTTGTTGAACTTAATGAAGTCATATTATTGGTGCTTTTTTCACTGCTTCTAGACAAACTGTTAGTTCCGTAAAAACCAATCATCTATGTGATTGCTACAACATTCAATGATTTTTGGACCTCAGAAGTCGCTTTGATGCCGTGGATGCCTCTCGGATAGCCATTTATTTGGCCATTTTGCATGGTTGTTTGGACTTTTACGTAACACTACTGTCATGAAGAAGTTATCATTTGGCGTGGCAACTTTTTTGAGGCAACAGTAATTCATTGGCACCCATCATTGAGTTTCGTCAAGTCTCTGTAAATTCTTCTCTTGATTGTATATCATATTTGCCTGAAGCTGGAAACCTTTTTATTTAAGAAGTACCATGGGTGATTACTATTTGGTACTGAAGATACCTCTAAAGTACTTAAATATGAGGGTTACGATTCCAATCGAAAAACTATTTAATTGTATCTGATTTGCGAAGAGGTTGTAGTACATCTAGGCTAAGTATTTTGGAATCTAGAATTACCGGAACAGAATGCCTTAATCTATTGGCGTGACCTTACACGTGTATTAGCTGGTCACATTCTTGCTTATAAAAGGCTTTGCTTCTGGTGTACAGAAGTCATTTATGAGGAAGCGTTTTTTAAATTTCTCGTAGGCTTCTAAAAATCACTTCAAAAAAAGCCGATATTTCCAAATCCAAACGTCGTTCAAAGATAGTACTGATGATCCGCCTTCACTAGAAGTAGGGAATCGTAAACATTGACGATGAAGTGTCTGAGAGATGTAATTTTCAAGCCTTAACTTTTATAAATTGTACACTTTAGCCCAGCTTTTTCTGCCATTATTTGGAATCTTTAGCTCGGGTATACTCGAGCTCATTTTAGCCAGTACAACGATATGGATGGTTGCAAAAATTTATCTGGCACTGGTAGTGCAGCGTCCATATTGTATGATCACATCTGCGCGTGGTATTCATGATCCCATCTTGGGCGTTCAATGCATAAACAGATAGGACATGTTTATACTAATACCCATTTTTAATACGCGGAGATTTACCGCCCCATCGATATGCGCACTTGTCTGAGTGGTTTAAAGCTCTCCAACTCTTTAGTGAGCCGCACAGGTGAGATGGATAAGTTTAATGTCGGCTTTACACAAATAAAGTAGATCGGAGTCGCGTTAATGCCTTAGAGTTACCTTGGAATGCATCTATAGGGTTGAATAAATAGTTGGACTGCTGAATGACTTAGTATACTTATGGACATATAATTCTGGGGTAGATGAGTGAGTAATGAATGCCTGAATGGATGGGTTGAAAGATGGATGTCTGGACGATTTGCTACTTCAATAAAAGGATGGAGACAAAATAATGCTGAAATACCTGTGGTAAATAATTGTTAAACCCTTTTTAAATGTCACTGCTATGAGGATGTACGCGCTTATTCAGTGGTAATTTTGACTATCCAGCACCTTAGCAAGCAGCACATTTCGATAGGGTGAATGAGTTCAGTGCCAAAAAACTCAAATAAAGTCGGTATTTATTGTCTATGCTGTAACAGGTTAACGTCCTGCTAATGACTTACGATCGCTTTAGAAGGTGAATAGCTGAACTGTTGGATTGCTTGATGGGTAAATATTTGGATTTATGAGTGCTTAAATTATCAGATGACTGAATAAGTTGATGGATGTCCGACTAATTGGTAGATTTACGCAGTGATCGGGGATGGGTGGATAGTTGAATGGTCATAGGAGTCAATCCATGAATAGACAGCTGGATTACCAGTTTCATTAACGGACCGATTGGTAAGTGAATGGATGAATGGTGCATATAAAATGGTTGGCTGATGTCAGTCAGTAAGTGCCAAAACTTTTGTCAATACCTGAAATGACTTCGTACACTTTTTCCCTTCGTAACTATGGCAATGTGTGTACTCAACATATTGGTGAGTAGTGTAGTTAGACAAAAATAATAAACTGATTGCTGAATGGATGGATAGACAAATGAATGGTTCAAAGAATAAAATGAGTGCGATCGGTGGACCAATATGTATCAGAGGTAGTCAGTTATGTTGATGGTCAGCTAATTGGCTAAATGGGTAAATTGCTAAATAAGCGGCTATGAGCACGTCGGAGATGGGGGGGTCATTTGGTCTCTGGTTAGATGATTACTTGAATGGCCAAGTAAATTGCTGGAAGGGTGGATGGCTGAGTGGTCGGAGTGATAGATGGGTGGATGGGTAATTAAATGGGTGGAAAAATTTATCCAGGTTAGATAAAGTAGTGCTCGGACGGATGAATAGTTAAGGGAATGGCTGATGAATTATTCGATGGATGCGTGGCCGAGCAGATAGCGCACAGCAGAGTTGTTCAATAGATGGACACCTAGGCGAATAGCTCGAGTATAGATATCAGGTTGAGTAGACTTGGAAAGATGGTGTCGATACTGGATGGTGTATAGGGCAAATGGTGGATGGTTTCGTTAAGCTGGGTTGTTTAGAATCTACCAGGCACAACGGATCAGTCTTGTACTAGTAGCTCCCGTTCTCCTCTGTGCAGGCCATGGTTCTAAGGACACGTCACAAAAGGCCACTTCTTAGCGCAGTAAGTATACCTATGCAGTTTTGATCTCAACTTATTCGTCAATGCTTACCCGTTTGGTGGCTATTGCTTTTTGAAGCGAGTTTCATAGGTATAGGTAGTGCCTGCCACCTTCCGTATCATCGATCTACTGTCTTGAATTGCGATGTAACCTCTTTTGTATTGACGCTTTCCGTCAAGCAAATGCTCCTAAATCTTCAAAATAAACCTGACTTCTTAAACTTTTAGGTTGTCAGCGGACGACTAAGACATTGCTATCATTCTTGTAGTTCTAGGACATCCTTCCTTTTATGCAGCATTTTTATTTGAATGTCATGCTTTGAAGTTCCCAACTTCTAATTTGAAGATTCATTAAAGTCACCATTTTTTTCACTGTGGGGAAGTAAAACAATGTGGCCTCAATGGTAATGCCGAGTTTCGTAGATACTTTATTCGGAGCTTTGGACAGTATTTACGTTGAGCACCAAAATAAATTATAAGGCAGTGTTAGTTGATTGGGTGAGCAATCGGATGGATAGCTTAATGGTTAGCTTGATGGACCAGTGACAGATGAACGGGCGGACTAGTTGAGCGGATGCATAGATGGGTGAATCGGTCACCGAGCAAATAGATGAATGAGTCGCTAAATGAGTGAATGAATAGAAGAACGGGTTGATGGTTTGATGAATTTCTGAATTAATAGATGCTTGAATGACTAGCTGACTAGCCTGATGGGTGCGAATGGCCAGACGGTTGAATAGAAAGATGAGTGAATTGACAAACAGGTCAATGGATAACGGCAACGACTGTGCATCTCTCTTGCTCATAGCCACATTTTCCCCTTCAGTCCAGCGCTGCCATGATGGAAGCGGAGGTAGCGGTGTGTACCCGAGCGGAGTACCAATCGCACCAACATGCGCGCGAGGCGGCGCTGGCGAGCGGAGCAATGGAGCAGCCGCTAGATGGCGTGCGTCCACGCCACCGCCTCCTCCTTCGCCAACTTACCGCCGACGATTTGGGTCGTCTGCACAATCGCAAACCCAGCATTGGGTCCTCGCCCCCCCCAAGCCTTCCTCTCGGCCTCCATCTTATCGTGCCCTTCGATTGGGGCCTACAACCCTCATCTTACACCGCTATTGATTACCGCAATGTTATCTTCCTTGGTGAGTCCTGAATTATTTGATTTTCTATGTCTCTTAAATGAATTTGTCCTCAGCGTCTAATTTTTTTGTCTACTATCATTCCAAGCATTTAAATGGTTCAGTTTATGAATATGCTTGTGAGTTTGCCAAATTTCCACTGGAATAAGCGGCATTTATAAGCTATGAAAAATCCTTGTCACTCTGCCTACCTTGAAGTAACTATTAACAAACCTGATTTTTAGAATGATGGATCTGTTTTAATTAATCCTATACGGACTTGCCTAACTTAGAAATGTCTATCGTTGAAAGCGTCAGTAATTATTAAACACGGTGGAATGCTTATCTTTTTTCTGCCTTCGTTGTACCTCTCATTGTTAACCGCAATGGTTCCATTAAAAATTCTTCAAAGGATACAAAGACAACGCAATGATAGAATCAATTTTGACTATCAAAATGTTGCAGATCTTTAGAGGTAAACAAACGTTTGTACTACTAGAACTATAGTCACAAACCCCACTTCGCCTGTCCTCGCATTCGCCCAGCATTAAAATATGTGAAAAGAATAAAAGTACTTTTCAAAAATAGATGATAACCGGATAACAAGATTTTGTTTTATTAACGTTGGTGCGAAATTGGAGACATCAGATTGTTTTCCATGATGAAGATGTGAATATCCCGCCTGCCCTTTTCGCCCACTAACATCTTTTAATTAGTCGGTCTGACACTAGTACCTGTGCCCTTGTGCGAGTCTTTAAGTTTATTTTCTACTTTTATGGACTTTTCAACTAAGACAAAGGCAAAAAGATTTATTTGCACCTTACCGATGAATGGGTAGATGGGAGTTTCGGTGCCTGCAAGATTCATTAGCGTACGATGCTTTTGCAGACCTCGTTTTCTTGGAAAATAGTATTTACTCCAGGTGTGGTTAGACATCAGCGTGCTTTCCTCTTTCACAACCGATTTTTCTTCGCTGCTAGTAAGAGCAAGCTGGCAAAGGATGGCTTAGGAGACCCATTCTTATTCACCTATT